TTGTTATATGGGCTGTATCTAAGACGTTGCCATGCTAAATAACCCTTACTGAACCTCTTTTCGTCTCCGCTTTCCTGTCTTGGGTGGCTACAGTTCAGTGGTGCAGAGGAAGAGAAGATCAAGCAGGCAGTGGGGACATTTTGCAGTAACCAGCCTTTTGCTCTGGAGATCATCAAGACCAAGCAGAAGAAAGACTCGAGGTTTATCTCATTCATTCAGGTACTGTGCTCAAATAGTGCTCAGACAATGTACAGCACCAATATTTTAGCTTGTAAAATGTCTGGTTTGATTTTGTGCTAAATTAATTCTCATAATGCGGGGAAAGACTTGTAGCTCTAAGAGGTTTGTTGGTGCTCAGATGTTTGAACTAAATTTAGCATTTGTATGTACTAGTTCAATTTTGCATAAATGCACAGAAACCTTTGATTTTGCCTGTTTACAGGAGGCAGAAAGTAACAGACTGTGCCGCAGACTGCAGCTTAAGGACATCATTCCTGTAGAGATGCTCCGTCTTACAAAATACCCCCTGCTTCTAGACAACATCGTCAAGTACACAGGTGAATTATTGCTGACTCATCCGTTTTTTTTAGCAGTCTACAGTTACCAGTGAATTGATCTTGTGTCAATAATTTGTATTCAATAGAGTATTGGCCCACAACTAGTGCTACTTACAAACAAAAGAGTAACAATTAAATAAAAAGAAAAATAGAGCAGGGAGATAAGTTTCTGGACCTTTGGGAGAGGAATGGTACAGCTACATCTTTTTAAGTGATCATGCAAAAATCTATCATAATTTCTCATTTGCATGTAAAAGTCTTTCTCTAATCTAGTTTAATAGGGACAAAGAAAAAAATTGAATTTCACAGAAACACTTGTTAAGTGCGGGGTCCTTCTAGGCGATGTGCCAACTATTAATTATAACAGAGACTAATGTAGAGATTATTATGATAATCAGAGGACGACGAGCGCATTACATGAATTGTGGCACCCATTATTTGGTCTAACATTATGGCCTTGGCTTAGGTCTGGTTCTCAAAGCAGGGAAACACTATTGATAACGTATGTCCAGCTATTAAAGGAGCATAATGCCTCTTCGGCTTTGTCTTAATTTTTGAGAATTATGGCGTGTTAATGGACAGAGGAAATATCCATTTTTTGGACAGCTCCCCTCAGAACTGAGCAGGCCTTATTGCTTCATGTCATATTTTACAGAGAATGTAATGGAAAAGGACAAAGTCAGGCAGGCGGCAGACTGCTGCAGGAAGATTCTCACTCATGTCAACCAGGCTGTGAAGGAATCTGAGGACAAACAGGTATTTTTTCTTCAGTATTTTCATTTTTATTAGTCCTATTATTATTTTACATGTCCTCTAATCAGACTCATAATTACACCTTCCTCTTTCTTCTGCCATATTTGGCCTCATATTTTGCCTAGACCGGGGATTCCTCTCAGAGTACTCGCTTATCCTTTTTCCCTATGTTTTTCTCCTTTACTCTAGAGGTTAGAAGACTATCAAAGAAGATTGGACCTCTCGTCTCTGAAGCAGACAGACAACCCCATGATCCTCGAGCTAAAGGTGAGTTATCTGCACAAGCATTACAGCCTCAGTTAAAGTGTTCTCGGTACTAGCTGTACACCCCATATGGTGTCTGAAATATGGGCGAGATAAAAAAAAGAAAAGCACAATGTGAAAATGGCCCAGTGCACCAGTATCCAATACTTACTTTTATTTTTCCTCCCATTTCTCATCTGTCAGAACCTGGATCTAACCAAGAAGACGATGTTGCATGAGGGTCCCCTGTCGTGGAAGGTGAACAAGGACAAGACTATTGGTTCGTAATCATTACTTTGTTACAATTTGACTACAGGTGTGTCGCTCATACAGTAGAGCTGCCTACTTCAGTTTAAGTCTGTCTGACAGGGGAAACATGCACTCTTTCTGTCTGGTTTCAGAGTTGTACACGCTCCTCCTGGAGGACATTCTGGTTCTGCTGCAGAAACAGGACGAGCGTCTGATCCTGAAGTGTCACAGCAAAAACCTGTCGGGCACCGCAGACACCAAACACATCTTCAGCCCCATCATCAAACTCAGCACTGTGCTAGTGCGTTCTGTGGCTACAGGTGGGTCAACTTTTGCGGTCATTACATGGAATAAGCTCTTACAAATGTTTGCATAGAATCTCACCCAGCTCATGTTTCTTCTCTCCCCCTAGACAACAGATCGTTTTTCGTCCTCTCCATGTCAGACAACGGTGCCCAGATCTATGAGCTAATGGCACCCACAGTTTCTGATCAGAAAACGTGAGACCAACTTCCTTTTGTTTGATGTATTTGGGTTTTACCGATTCATTTGTTGAATAGGCTAATAAGTCAATATTTGTCCTCTTGCACTAGGTGGCAGGCTCTGATTTCCCAGAGAGCAGACGTCATTAAAGTCAAGCCCCACAGCGTCATACCTTTACCTCAAACTGAGTATGTTTCTTTCTGCTTTCTGTGACTAAACCATAATTGATGTTACTCTGGGTTTGGGTTTGTTAATAAACTTAAGTTTTTGCTTGTGTGTCAGTGGGGAGAGGGATGGTGTGGAGATCATAACGGCAGGGGTTTCCAGGTTGAGTAGAGACCCAGACCGCACATCCACCGGCAGCACTCAGTCCACAGGTGACTTTCTAAAATGCATTTTTAGTCCACAATGCTTGAGTGTTATCAAAAAGCCAACAGTGAAGACGATCATCCTCTGATAAATGTCATTGCTTGTCGTCAGACAAAGAGAGCAGCTCAGCCTCTAGAGGAGCTCTGCAGAGCTCCCTACCCAGTAGCAACCCATTCGAGGAGGTGAAGGCAGATGAGGAAGAGGAAGAAGGATTTGTTGGCCCAGAGCTAGCTTATCAAGTAGTGGAGAACAGCAGAGGAGACTCGTTTGATGTGTTTCCCTCCAGGGCAGACGAAGCTCTGAAAACATGTAAGTACGCTGAAACATGAATTGAAGCCAAGCCAAACACTAATTTGCTAAATAAAAAACAAAAACAATCATCACTGTACTTTCCCTCAGTGGCTGCATTAAAGCAGGTGCTGGTGACCCAACTGATGTCCCAGGGGGCAGCAGAGCAAACCAAACGTCCCTCAGGGGCCCGTCTCCTCAGGACCACCTCTCTGCGGACTCCAAT